AACCCAACCTCATATAAAGAATTTAGTAAGCCTACCCCGTTAAAGCCATGCGGATAACTTAGAAGAACTAGATCACATGATGTTAGGATTTTTAAATTTCTTTGATTATTTCGCATTCGATACTTTAAATTTTTATTAATCATTCTTTGATTTTTTGAATTATTCTAATATCACTAACTTATTGTTTTATTTCTTGATTGCATGTATCATTATCATATCACATCATTTCATAAACGGTATTGATTCCCATATCACCTAGTTATTATAAAAAAGCTTAAGGCAGTAATGTCTTTCGATGGGACTGAGAATGCAATCAGTGTTCAGACCTGGTCTGAATATGGGCAGACACGGTTCGGGGATAACCTTGTCACTACCGAAGATTCAGTTTTGCCAGAAAAGGTAACTATCTGAGTTAGACAGGCACACTGGGCTGAGTTATCAAGAATTTGGTCTACCTGGGATGATAATGAGAAGACACTATTCATAGGGAAATACGACGACATTATAGAGCTACTGAGAGTGCCAATAGATTTGGTGGTGGTTCGAGCCCTTGCCGAGTGTTGGAATCCAGCTTACAGGTGTTTCATTTTTGGTAAAGTATACATGACCCCGACCTTGGAGGAGTATACAGCTTTGCTGAATATCCCGAATGTTAGAAGGAGCAAGGTTGATCCACTCATCCGCACAAGAGGTAACCATGCAAGAAAACGAGGCCTTAAAAGTGAAGATTGCTGAATTATAAGTCATAGTGCATAGATGCCATCAGCGAATCCAATAGCTAGAAGAGAGCTAACCATTAACTAATCCAGAGCTTGGAATTGCTCTACGACAGGCTCAGGATACCATTCAAAGGCAACATGAAGTAATGGAGAGAGCAATGGATCAGGCTCGTGATGTAGCTCGCCAAGTCTACGAGTTATATGAAGAAGCGACAGCTTTAAGAATTTTTGTGATTCCAGAAACAGAGGAAGAACGGCGCATCATAGGATTGATGATAGAGCTCGAAAGATTAGGAAATAGGGCAAGATTCTACGTTTAGTATTTATGTCGATATAATCTCTTTGCCTAACTGCTTAGATGTTGTGTGTTGTTGAGTACTTTTTATATAAACTAAGTTATTTTGGAATCAATGTTGGGTTACATTTGCATTTGCATTTTCATATGTTTTTTTTCTAAATTTTCAAAATCTTAATGATTACATTATAACAATTCATTCATTAAAATTCAAAAAATAATAAAATACAATTTTCAATCATTTGTAGTTATCCTGACATACACCTCACACCCATACGGTACTCGTCAGTCAACAAAGAAAATGGAAGACAAGATCGTCCAAATCGAAAAAACTCAACTTGACATGCAGGAGAGCTTTAAGAAAGTTCAGGAGGAGATACGTGAACAAATGATAAAATCTTAGAATGATTTGATGGAGAAACTTGCGAGCATGTTACGAGGAAGAAATATTGAAAGAGAAGATACCCCAGCTTTCGGTGCTACTATCGAAGAACCTTTGTATCCCCAGGTTTTGTACCACAAGTGGATCGTGCAAAAGCTTCAAATATTGGTGTTACAACTCCAACTATTGGTATTACCTCTGAAGAACCCCTATACCCCCCAGGCTTTACACCACCTCATGTTAAAGCACAACAAAGAGCAACTACACAATCAGAAAGAATACAAGTAAACCTATCTGGCTCTTCTTTAAACCCACAACCATTTGAAGACGTCCCTGATTTGGATGAGGAAGACAAAAAAGAACATGATAAGGAGCTCAAGAAAGAATGTGAACAAATGAAGCATGAATTTTGAGCTATGAAAGAAGATGTTAGCTTATATGGAATCGACGCTAGAGAGCTAAGCTTGGTCCCTGATTTAGTAATATCACCAAAGTTCAAAGTTCTAGATTTCGAGAAATTTGATGGCACCAGTTGTCCTTCTGCACATATTACCATGTTTTGCAGAAAAATGACAAGCTATGTGAGAGATGATCAGCTTTTAATTCATTGTTTTCAAGAAAGCCTGGCAGGCTCAGCAATCTGTTGGTACAATCAGCTAAGTCGGACTCAGATTAAATTATGGAAGGATTTGGCTAAGGATTTTCTAGAGCAATATAAACACGTAAAAGATGAAAGGCCAAACTGAATTTTGTTACAGAGTACGGAAAAAAGATCTAACGAGAACTTCAAGCAGTATGCCCAAAGGTGGAGAGATATAACTATGCAAGTTCATCCACCATTAGAGGAGGAAGAAACTAATATGTTTTTTGTAAATACTCTGAGGGCCCCATTCTTTGGACATCTTATTGGAAATTCATCCAAGAATTTTGCTGATATAGTCAACGCAGGAGAAATGATTGAGATGGCGATCAAAAGCGGGAAGCTAGACGGGGGAGAATCTAGCCGAAAACCTCCAGCAAGAAGGAAGGATAATGAGGTTAGTAATATGATTTAATAACATTACAGTATCCTGACCTCAAGCCACCACATCGTCTGCACTAAATCTTGTTAAGCAAGGGGTGAAAGAACCAAGACAAGAAAGGGAAAGGGTTCAATTTGACCCCATCCCTATGACCTATAAAGAACTATTCCAGATCCTATACTACAAACATGTGGTGTCACCTTACCACACTTCTCCAATACAACCTCCTTACCCAAAATGGTTTGACATCAATGCTCAATGTGTGTATCATGCGGGGGTATCAGGGCATTCAATTAAAAACTGTCTAGCTTTTAAAAAGTTGGTACAAAGATTAAGACGAAGAAATATCATCAACTTCGGTGATAGCGAGCAGCCTAATGTGGCTCAGAATCCACTACCGAACCATGCAGGGGTATGGGTTAATGTTGTTATTGAAGAAAGAGGGAATGAAGTTATAACCATAGTCAATGAAGTGAAGTCACCCATGCATTGGGTATGGGGGGAAATGGTCAAAATAGGCTGGTTGACCTTTAATACTGAGGGGAATAAGCATGCTTGCCCCTACCACCGTTGCGAGGATCATGTTATTCAATATTGTGATGAGTTCAAGGCCTTGGTTCAAAGGTTGATGGATAGTAAAGACATGGAATTTTACAATGAAGCTAAGAAAGAGAAAGTGGTAGAGATTTACGCTTCCGAAGGCACATCCAAAGGACTTTACAATACTAACTGCCCTTTAGTTATCACACCGAAAGCCCGAACTATGGAAAGGTTAATCCCTAAAGTGATGATCATGCTTCCGTCGTCATTTCCTTATAAGGACAACAAGCAGGTCCATTGGAGGTATGAATGCCAATTAGAGAATATTGAAAGTTCAGAGGCTACTAAGGAAGAGGTGGATGAGGTAGACCACTTTACCAGAAGTGGGAGATGTTATTCTCCCAACCAGACTAGTGAGCTTAAGAAAAGAGCGGCTGTTTATGAAGGGAAAAGGGTTGAGATATTGCTGAAAGATGATGAGCCAACAATTAAGGAGCCAGTAACCGAGAACGAGGCTGTGAAGTTTTTAAAATTTTTGAAGCATAGCGAGTACAACATCGTCGAACAACTACACAAGTTGCCATCTCGTATCTCAATCATGGCTCTACTATTAAGTTTTGAGGCATATCGAAATGCCTTGCTGAAAGTCTTGAATCAGACTTTCGTACCGAAAGATGTGCCAGTAGAAAAGATAGATCGACTAGTTATAAATATTCAGGCGGATAACTTCATCTCTTTCTCTGATGACGAGATCCCATCTGGAATGATGAGCAACCCCAAAGCCCTGCACATTACCATCAGGTACAAGGGACATGTGTTATCACGAGTACTGATCGATAACAGCTCTGCCCTAAATGTGATGCCATTAATAACCTTGAAGAAACTCCCGGTCGACAGTACACACATGAGAAATTCCCAAAGCATTGTTCGAGCTTTCGACGGAACAAAGAATGAGGTACTGGGGAATATCGACATTCCTCTAACCATAGGACCATCAACCTACGAGGTCGAATTCCTTATAATGGATATAATGCCCTCCTATAACTGCTTGTTAGGAAGGCCTTGGATCCACCAGGTAGAAGCCCTGCCATCCACTCTACATCAGAAACTCAAATTTGTAATTGAGGGGAGACTGGTATGCCTTAATGCCGAGGAAGATATCATTGCTTCCTTATCTACTACTGCCCCATATGTCAAAGTAGATGAAGATGCGGTCGAGTGCTCTTTCAGAGCCTTGGAATTCATTAATGCCACCTTTGTTGCTGAAAGAAAGAAAATTCCAAAGCCAAGGTTGTCCAACTGTTCCAAAATAGAACTGAAAATGACTCTAGGAAGAGGAGCCAAGGTTGGGAGAGGGCTTGGAAGTCGCTTACAGGGAAATATTAGTCCAGTTTTTCCCAATATTAAGCGAGATCATTTTGGTCTAGGATATCGTCCGACCTTAAAAGAAAAGTTGAAAAATGTTCAAAAGAGCCATGAAATGAGAAAAGCCAGGTTATCCGGGGAGGATATTAAGTGGGAGCCCATGATTTTCTCACCGCTGTGTAACATCTTCATATCTGGAGGCCACATGTTTCAGGGGGCTTGATCATCTAAAGAGTCTGTTATTGAAAATGCCCTGAGGGATTTGGGTATAAATGTGATATCGGAGGAAGGAATCGAAGATGGAATGTCTATGGGCATCTACCCTACACCACCAGGCTTTGTGCTAAACAATTAGACTGCAGAAGAATTATCTGTAGTTTACAAAACTGTTTTTATTTTGATAAATGATGCATTCCTGTTAATTCACGAAATGGCAAACATCATCCCTTGTATTTTTTTCTCGTTATTTATTTATTATATATTATTATTTCATTCTATTTTGATATAGATAGATCATCTTGTATTTGTATATGTATATATATCCTTTCGTTCATTATTCTTTCAGGACCTCCGGTATCAATAGTATGAATGCTGATGACTCTGACCCGAAGATAAATTTTGAGCTACCCATATATAAAGGGGAAATTAAAGGTTATGATAGTGATGAGGGAAGCGACTTGCCTTCTAAACTACTGAAAATGGTAGAGAGAGAAGCAAAACAAATTCTACCTCATGAAGAGCCCATTGAGATCTTGAATCTAGGATCAGAGGAAGATAAAAAAGAGATAAAAATTGGTAACATCATATCTGCTGAGGGACGACAAAGTCTGATTGAGCTAGTTCGAGAGTACAGAGATGTGTTTGCTTGGTCATATGAGGACATGCCAGGTTTAGATACTGAGTTAGTGGTATATAAGTTGCTAATAAATCCCTTATGTAAACCGGTACAACAAAAGCTCAGAAGAATGTGACCTGAAATGCTACTTAAAATTAAAGAAGAAGTAAAGAAGTAATTTGATGCTGGGTTCCTGAAAGTATCCAAGTACCCGGAATGGGTAGAAAACGTCGTTCCAGTACCAAAGAAAGATGAGAAAGTTCGCATGTGCATCGACAACAGAGATCTTAATCAGGCCAGTCCGAAAGATAATTTTTCTCTGTCACACATAGATACCCTGGTGGATAATACGGCTGGAAACTTTTTATTTTCGTTTATGGATGGGTTTTCAGGTTATAATCAAATAAAGATGCATCCATATGATATGGAAAAAAACTACATTTGTCATCATGTGGGGCACATTCTGTTACAAGGTGATGCCGTTTGTGCTTAAAAATGCAGGAGCAACTTATCAAAGGGCCATGGTAACACCATTCCATGATATGATGCATAAGGAAATAGAGGTCTATGTCGATGGTATGATTGTTAAAGCTAAAACGGAGGAAGAACACATTGAGAATTTGAGGAAACTCTTCCAAAGATTAAGGAAATGCCAGTTAAAACTCAATCCAAGCAAGTGTACCTTCGGGGTAACATCGGGAAAACTCTTGGGGTTTGTAGTAAGTAAAAAAGGGATTAAAGTAGATCCTGGCAAGGTCAAAGCTATACAGGATTTACCACCCCCACAAATACAAAAAGAAGTTTGAGGATTCCTGGGAAGATTAAACTATATTGCCCGATTTATTTCACAATTAACTGAGAAGTGCGATTCTATTTTTCGCCTTCTCCGTAAAAATAACCTAGGGGTGTGGAACGATGATTTACAAGAAGCTTTTGAAGTAATAAAAGAATATTTGTCGAATGCTCCAGTCTTAATGCCACCAATATCAGGCAAACCATTAATCCTCTACTTGTCAATCTTTGAGAATTCAATGGGGTGCGTATTAGGGCAGCATGACCAAACTGAGAAAAGAGAAAGAGCAATCTACTACCTTAGTAAAAAGTTCGTTGATTACGAGACGAGTTACTCACCAATAGAAAAGTTGTGTTGTGCTTTAGTTTGGACTACCCGAAGGCTCAGGCAGTATATGTTGTATCACACTACTTAGCTGATATCTAAACTTGATCCTCTGAAATATCTAATGGGTATACCTGCTTTATCTGGAAGATTGGCTCGTTGGCAAATCTTATTGTCTAAATTTGACATCCAATATGTAAGCCAAAAAGCAATTAAAGGAAGTGTTGTGTCCGATTTCATTGCAAGTAGGGCTTCTGAAGAGTATGAACCACTGAACTTCAATTTTCCAGACGAAGATTTAATGGTTATTTCAACTGAAGAGGAAGTTTACTCTACTAATGAACAGTGGAAGATGAATTTCGATGGTGCCTCAAACGCCTTGGGGCACGGAATTAGGGAAATTCTGGTCTCACCTGGTGGAAAACATTATCCTTTTACTAGCCGATTGGACTTTGATTGCACGAATAACATGGCCGAGATGAAGTATGCATCTTGGGTCTTAGAGCTGCCATTGAGCGTAAAGTGAAAAAACTTAAAGTATACGGGGATTCAGCCCTGGTAATTTATCAACTCAGAGGTGAATGGGAAACAAAGAATGCGAAGATAGTGGAATACCATAAGTTGGTCATAGAGCTCATTAAAGAATTTGAGAAAGTGACATTTATTTATCTCCCCAGAGAAGATAATCAAATGGCGGATGCCCTAGCCACTTTGGCAGCAGCCTTTAAAGTTAATGAACATTCAAGCATGATGCCTATTACGATGCAAGCTTATGGGTATCCAGCCCATTGCTATGGCATAGAAGAGGAAGATGATGGAAATCCTTGGTATTACGACATCTTACAATACATTAGATATCAAAGTTACCCCGAGCAGGCCACTGAAAATTACAAAAGAACTATTCGAAGAATGGTCGTAGGATATGTGCTTGATAGCGAGATCCTGTATAAGAAAAGTCATGATCATGTCTTGCTATGATGTGTGGATGCCAAAGAAGCTAGAACGATCATTGAAGAAGTGCATGAAGAAGTATGTGGTACCCATGCTAATGGGCATACAATGGCTAAACAAATAATGAGATTTGGGTATTATTGGTCAACCCTGGAAACTGATTGTATCAATTTCGCCAGAAAATGTCGTAAATGCCAGATTTATGGAGATAAGCTCCATACCCCTCCTCATTCATTGCATGTAATGACTTCTCCATTGCCATTCTCTATGTGGGGCATGGATGTTATTGGGCAAATTTCACCCAAAGCTTCTAATGGCCATCGTTTCATATTCGTGGCAATATACTACTTTACTAAATGGGTAGAAGCAGCCTCCTATGCAAATGTTACTCAGTCAACAGTTTGCAAGTTCTTGAAGAGAGAAATTATTTTTTGATATGGGCTACCAGAAAGGATCATCACTGACAATGCCTTGAATTTAAACAACAAGATGATGAAGTCAGCATGTAAATAGTTCCAGATTAAACATCATAATTCTACTACCTATCTCCCAAATATGAATGGAACGGTAGAGGCAGCCAATAAGAACATCAAGAGGCTCATACAGAAAATGACTGAGACTTATAGAGACTGGCATAAGAAGCTACCATTCGCTCTGTTTACCTATCGAACTTCAGTGAGGACGTCCACTGGGGCAGCTCCGTTTTCTTTAGTTTATGGGATGGAGGCTGTGCTACCCATCGAGGTTGAGATTTCGTCACTACGAGTGCTGTCAGAGGTTAAGCTAGATGTAGCAGAATGGGTGCAAGCTAGGTATGATCAGTTGAATTTGATTGAGGAAAAAAGATTAAAAGCTATCTGTCACGGGAAAATGTACCAGAAACATATGATAAGGGCACATAACAAAAAAGTTCGCCCACGAGAGTTTCAAAAAGGAGACCTGGTGCTAAGAAAGGTTTTGTCAATTCAGAAAGACTTTCGAGGTAAATGGATGCCAAATTGGGAAGGACCTTATGTGGTAAAGCAGACCTTTTCTGGAGGAGCTTTGATCCTCACTGAGATGGATGGACCAGAGTTACCTAACCCTGTGAATGCTGACTCAATAAAGAAGTATTTTGCCTGAAAAAAATGAAAAAGATTAAAAATGAAAAAGAAAAGAAAAAAGGAAAGAAAAATGAGGAAAAAAGAAAAATAAAAGGAGGGTTCAAGATGAAAACCCGTAAAGGGCGTCTTCAAACTAGAAAAGGTCTCAGGTTGAAAACCCGTAAAGGACGGCTTGAGAATTGTCTAAATTCAGAATTCGTGCATGGAAGAAATTCTGAATTAGTTTTGAATAATTGAAATGGTAGTCAAAGTTAGGGTTAGAAATCGCAAAGCTTGAGTAATAAGAAAGTAAACGAGATTCAAACACTGACTTACGACATCCAAATGTTGGGAATTTGGCAGTACAGGGGAACTTCACACCCTTAAGCACTACCACTATCCTCAAGATCCCCTCGACAGAAGCTATACTCGGGTCTTCCTACGACGTGCCAGTTCAAAAGCATTCGTACTATTGATATATGATGACGCTTACTGTGTTTTATTTTGATTATTCTAGTTAAAAGTTTGCCATGTATTTACCCAAAAAATCTTTATTTTTAAATAAAAAAGGTCTTTTTCCACATTGCAAGCATTCTAATTAAAAAATGAAAACATGTAGATTAGCTCGGGAAACATGAGATCATCGTGCATTATTGTACAAAAAGTTTTGAAAAAATATAGGTATTTCGAAGCTGAAAATGGTCTTAGTATGAGGTTTACGCGATAGTGGGCCACAAGAAATTAAGGTCTTATGATACACACAAAGGCTCAACAATGTGGCATAATCCAAGAAATCTTGTCATTAATCAAATAGTTGGTCATGAAAAGCACATTGGTTCAAAGAGTAAAGAGAATCAGAGTTAGGTTCAACCAAAGAGTGTCAAACCAGAGTTGTTAATCGGGGAATTGTTGTTGATTTTTTCGTACTCAAATCAAACTGAAGTACAAAGGCCATCAACAAAAGAAATTTCTTGTTTGAAAAGAAAATATCCTCAAAATAATTGCATCATTGCACGCATTTTAGGCATAAATAAGGTCATGACATGAAATGCATAATAATGGTAAATGCAAATTGAGTACTTTCAGGTTCTCTAAAAGGAAAAAATAGAGATGTAAGGACCCAACATAAAAATAATGAGTTTAGATTTCCATGTGTGGTGGTGGCAAGACGAACTCTCGCAAGAGAAATCGCTTCCAAAGAATATTTTCCTGAAACTTTCAGGTATGTTGTTTTCGAATCCTCAAATACATACTAAACAAGGTTAATATTTAATTTTCAGGTTTGATTTTCTTAAAGACGAGAAAAACAAATCGAATCCGATCCAATCTTCCCTGAGTGACGGCAGAATGAATCAACTCCTCCAGATCTGATATTCCCTTAGAAGAAGTGGAAAAGATCATCATATTCCAAGATTTGATATTCCCTGAGTAACAGCGGAACAAGTCTACCTCGATTCAATGGATTAACTCCTCCATATCTGATATTCCCTTAGAAGAAGTGGAACAGATCACTCTATTCCAAGATTTGATATTCCCTGAGTGACAGCGGAACAAGTCTACCCCGATTCAATGGATCAACTCCTCCAGATCTGATATTCCCTTAGAAGAAGTGGAACATATCACCCTATTCCAAGATTTGATATTCCCTGAGTGACAGCGGAACAAGTCTACCCCAATTCAATGGATCAACTCCCCCAGATCTGATATTCCCTTTAGAAGAAATGGAACAGATCCCTCTCATCCCCATATTTGATATCCCTTGAGTGACAGTGGAACTGATCATTTATCTTATTTAGTTGACCAGACGAAAAATGATTGTCTCTTCGTCTTTGCCCTATTCATGTTGACACAAGAATGAGCAAAGAGGGGCAACTGTCGACACTCGATATTTTCGTCCTGTTATTATTAAGTTATTATTATTATTATTATTATTATTATTTAAGATTACTAACATAATGTTTTTATTTACAGATCCGGCCTAAATACCCCAAACCCAAATTACAATCCAGCAAACCTAATGATGAAAACCCAATACCAACTAGGGTTTCAACATGTAGCTTCAGCCGCCACTTCATCTCAGCCGCACAATCAAGTTGGAGATGGACGGTCTAGATCAACCCTCAATTAAGATTTCCCCCTTGGATGTTGTCGTCGCCTTGCAAGAGCCGTCCGATCTGGACCCATCCAACGGTCCAGATCAAGCCCAGGCCACCGAATCTGGCACCATCACAGTCTTTTCCACCAACTGACAATTGGATTCACAAGTCAAATATTAAGACCAAGACAAACCCGTGTTTTCAATCTATTTTTTACTTCACTCATGATGTTTCAGAAAAAACAAGAAAAAAGAAAGTAAAAACCTATTGTAGAATCGGTTATATAACCTGAACAAAAAAATGTAAATGAGGGGGAACTCCCAGATTCGAAAAGCAATAACAATAGCAGTTATTTTCAAGGTATATTTTTAGTTTCGAAAATATAGAAATACACTCTTTGCATGCAAAAATAATATATATATATATATATATATGAGTCTAAAATAGGGTCAGGGAGTAGCTTACTTGAGTCAAAGGGAGCCTTCACGGCGGTCAGAGTTTGAGGAAACTGAATATTCAGGGTTAGATTTATGGTTGTTTGGGTTTGTTTAGGGAATGTTTAGGTTTAGTTTGGTGTCTAGGATAGTAGATCTAGGCTTTGAGGTTTTTTTAGGTGAATTTTGGAGCTTCGGCCACCATGTGTGGTGGTCGGAATGGCGGCCGGACGGCAAGTTAGGTTGGCCAGTAAGGGATCAGCCGAAGATTGAGAGAATTCTCATTTTTTTTGAAACGAAATGAAAATGAAACAAAAAATGATAAAAGGTGGTATATATAGGCTAATTTAATGGTATAATTACAACTTAAATGCCTCTAATTTTAGCGTGTTTTACAAAATAGTCATTGATAGGGACCAGTTTCATTATTTTGCTAATTTTCTGTATGTTTTATAATTTTTTATTTAATTATAGTTTAATCCGCCTACATTCATTACATATTTGCACTTTAGTCATCGATTTTGCAGTTTTTATATTTTAGTTTCGAAATTGTTATTCTTACTTCATTAATATTGGTTGAGATAAATAATTGGTAAAATTATATATTTAATCCCTATTTTTAGCTAATGTTGATCACTGTGCCCTATGTTTAAAATCATATTTTATTAATTATGTGATAGTTTTTTTTAATGACCCACGTTGGTTGTGGTGTCTTATATATATTTTATGTATGTTTATTTTACCTTTATATTATATATTAAAAGTGTGTTGGTTGTGGTGTCTTATATATATTTTATGTATGATTATTTTACCTTTATATTATATATTAAAAATATGGTAATTCCCATAATATATTGTTTGCCACTTATTTTGTAATTTGTAAACATATACGGTATATAATATATTTTGTAAGCATATATATTATTTAAGTGTATTATATATATATAGGTTGGACATAGTACGTAGAATATATATCTATTTTATTATCCATATTATATAATATATATATTATAGCATAAATGCATATTACGCAAGTAATACTTTTATGTATATATTATAATTATTTTTATTAATTTACACACATATATATATAATTTATGGAAACATCAATCTATGAATATATATATTTTTTAGTTGGTTGATAATTTAGTATTGGTACAAAATCACCACTTTTGTTTATTTAAGATATAGTAGTTTGTTTTTTATTGATTATAATATATATAGAATTATTATATTATTTGTTTCCTACTTATTTTCTTAATTTAAACTATAGTGGTTTAGTTTTTTATTATAATATATATAAAATTATTATAATATTTTTCCCCACTTATTTTCTTAATTTAAGCTATAGTGGTTTAGTTTTCTATTGATGATAATAATATATGGAATCATTGTAATATTTATTTCTTCACTCTCCTAATGTAAGCTACGTATGATGTTTAATTTCTTAATAATATATATGTAATCATTATACTATTTGTTTCCCTAATTTATGTTTTAATTTGTTTGATTTAATATACTTTCTTATCATGATATTTTCTTTATTATAATTTATTGTCCATAATTTGTCTTAATTTAAGGGTCATGTTTCTTTCATTTGTTTTTTTATGTTCACATGATGATTCCTTATTATGTTTTGATGCATGTGTCTTATTTTTATTTATCTTTAATTAAATATTTTGATGTATTTTCATTTTTATTTAAATGCATTTATGTGTACATATGTTTTGCATGACATCTTAATTAATTTTACATGATAGCCTTATAAGCATCCCTTGACTCTAATCGAAATAAATTGACTAAGGGTGATAATCGACCATTTTAAAATTATCGAAAGAAATTTTCTAATACGTGAATATTTAATCCATTTTAACGCATAGCATTAAACTTTAATACTATAACTTACATTTTAGATTTGAGCCCCTAAGTTTCTTAATTTTCATAATTTGACACTTTAGGTTAGAATAAGCCTTAATTTACTTTTAGTTTAATTAGGACAAATAAAATTTTGTTTGATTGCATTGTTTTTTTACAAATCTAAGGCACTGTTCACTTATTAAGGAATTAATAGTATATCTCCCGCGATCGTGCTCAGGGGGTGACTACTGGTAATTCTTTGAATAAGTTGACATCCTTTTCAAAATCACATCATGTTTTCTAAAAATGAGGTAATATGAGGTTATTAGGCACAATAGCTGATCTTCCGCATTTATGCTCGGGGGCGAATGCTATCGGTCTCGATAAACGAATACCCTTTTCAACTTTGCATCCTTAATGATTTTTAAATTAAATAGAGATCAAACTCTAAATTTCTGATTTTAAATATAGGGTAATCAACTAGGTACCAATTTTTGGGCGCTTGTGGGGGTGCTAGTCCATCCCCACGCGTAACTGACTTCCGAACCTGATTTCTAGATTTTCGCAGACTTCAAAACTCGGTATTTTGATAAAAACAAAATGTTTTATTAAAATCATCCGGTTTTTATGGTGTTCCAATCGCACCTCAAATGATTGGTGGCGACTCCTCACCTTTCGAAATGATTTTCAAAGAGAAAACCTCGAGTCGATATCGGTATTTCCCCTCCGGGCGAAAAACGGTTACGACAATTCTATTTGGGAAGAGCGTAACCATAGGCTCTTTAGGGGTTCGTCTCGCTCGGTTGATGTAATTATAAATAGTATAAAAGTGGATGTAAGAGTCAAGTTGTGTAGATATGGTATTTCTAGTCTTGATGATGTTAATAGGCGTTTATACCTGAATTGGGGTCTGTCCTAGTGTGGAAATTTTGTTGGTTGTAGCAGCTAATCTGCTTTCTTGGATGAAATATAACTTACTTATCCAAAAAAATTTGAAAAATGCATGTTAAATATTTCAGGATTGGTTATTGAAAATATATCTTGTTATCATTTTATACAAAATAATTTGATAGTTCAATTTGATTCATGAATTTTTCAATTGTTACCTTTCTCATTTTTAGTTTAAAAAACTTAAATAAATATAGATTATAGATTTGGCTGAACTTATTGGCTAAGCTATTGATCTTTTTTAAATTTTGTTCTTATTCTATCAAGAGTTTCAAGTACTCAAGAAGATGATTTATTGTAATTTTATATAATGTTTTCTATTAGGCTTTCAAAGATATTATCTTTATTTTTTTTTTGTGGGGGATTATGAGATTATGATATACTTGTAACCTTTTAGATCTAACGTATGCGTTACGACTAGATCTAATGAATTACATTAAATTTCTTAAAATATTTTAAAATCGTAGTAGTAATAATGAAGTCAAATCGAGTAATATAAAACATAAAAGTCCACAAGAATTATGAAATAACATATAATGTCAAATGTAGTAGATATCCATACATCAAAAGTAAAATCAAAATAGATCATAAAACTAGTGTATCAAAATATAGGCACATGCTACTCAAAATAAAGACATTTTGGAAGAAGAAAACATTACAACAAAATGCAATATTGAATGTGTCGATCCTCCAAGTGTCAAGTCTAGGGTGCCTAACTAAAGTATCTGAAAAGAGAAAGTTGAGGGAATGAGCTAGGGAACTCAGTGTGTTCCGATATAATAAAACATACTGATAAATTCTAGAATATAGTTTAGTAAAACGTCATAAAAATAATATAGAGGTTTTTTTAAAACATATAACTACCCTCCACCTTATACATCAAAATGCAGCACTGATAACTCCGTAAAAATGTCATATTTAGGACATTTTCACTTAAGTTATTGACTATCTAAGAGCTCATATGGGATCATATAGATGCATTTAGGAGAATATAGTTGCATGTGGTGGAAATATATTTTTTCGTGGCATTTGTAATCAATGTTGCGTTATGGGGAAGGTGTTTTGTCTGATGATGTAGGATTTGGGAGCAAGGATAAGCGAGGAAAATTGTCGTGACATGTTGAGAATGCTGAGCAGAATGCAGATGCCAACTCGGAAGACATTTTGAAAATGAAAAAAACAAAATAAGATATTTTCAAGAACCAGTTGTCCTTGTCTTCACGTGCCTTCAACTTCCAAACACCTAGGTGGGAACATCTGTCATCTAGGTTGGTTGATCCTGTCGGCACGTACGCCCAGCTACAAGTCTCCCAAGATGGACCACTGCTAGCTGCTCGGGAGGGGACCATTGCCACATCTACAGGGGATAATTATCAATGTTATGGGATAATATAAAATCATCTAATTTAAATGGTTTCTTTATTTTTGAAGAATTGATTACCTTTCTGCTTAACTTCAACTTTACAAGGGCAGTTGACAGACAAATAATTTTCCAAAGTTCTAACTGTGATTTAAAGGGTTCGTTCCACCTGTCTGCAAATACTAATAGCATATTAGAATTACCAATTATATATCAAGGTATTTATTAGTTGGTTATGAAAGAAAATCTTTACATTTTAACTTTCATTTTAGTGCAAGAACCAATCTAGCAGTTAAGAATGGTTGTTATCTCTAAAAGTTTTAGATTTGTGCATAACATTTGTAGAGGTATTAAGAGCGCTCAATGTCAAAAGAACAAGTCTTTTCAACAGATACTACATTGTTAAAATAATAGAAAAACTGACATTTTAGTATTAGTTTCGACCAAATAAAATAATTGTACAGGTTATGGCGATGTAACCAAGGATGAGGACTAAAATTATTATAGGATTAGAGTTAAAATATTAAATTAATATTTTATTAAAATTTAATAGTTAAATTAAAAAAATTGCTAATCAATATAATAAGAGTGAACGTTATATGATTAATTTACAATTAATCAATAATATAAGTAATCAAAATATAATAATTAAAAGTTAAGTTAAAAATTAGAAAATAATTAGAAAAAGGGGTACCATCACTCTAATTACACCTTATTAAATTTATAGAAAGTAGCAGACGTGAATGAAAACAAGTTGCATTGAGTTGGCATGTGGAGTGATTTGGGTTTGCTTTAACAGATCCAATCGTCTTTATTGATTTGGGTCTGATTAGATCTCATTCAAAGAGTTCTAATAAGTGGGTAGAAAATTTCTAAATTGAAATTAGAATACTGGAAGAATCGTAACACGCTTCAGCTGGATCTTCCCTGTGCTCACGAAGGTTATCAACTCCAAAGACCAGAAGAAAAAGTAACAAAAACTCCCATTTTCTATTCGCATTCTTACTCTTTGGCAACGAGACTAACGCTAAATCACAGGTATTTCCTCTCCCTCTCCCTCTCTCTCTCTCTCGATTGATTTGAAGTTAACCGATTTGGACTTTGATGGTTTCATAACTGTTTTCCTCCAATTTCTGCTTTTTACGTTCTCTTTTCTGTTTTTTTAATTATTTCCGACTGGATGGAAATTCAAGTTTTTATTTGTTTCAATTTACATCTATCAGATCTTAAGATGTTCAATTTCAGCCTTGAGTCTTGATACTGTAAACTTTGGAAAACTCTTGCAGCGTTGGTCTATTTTTGCTTGTCTGGAATTTAACCTTAACAATTGGGCACTTCTTATATCCGTTGTTCCAAATTTGCCAAGTAGAGTAATGGAAGTTGTTATAATCTATGTTACGCGGACTACATGATGAGTGTCATGAGTATACTTAATTTGTTCTAAGCCTTTTTATTATTTGAGAGATCATGTCTTACACTCATATCAAAATATGTGGATTTTCGCATACTCAAATAAATATTTTTCTGTACATATTTTAAACTTAGAACAATCATGGTTTATTGCCTGTCCAGCTCAGTTGGTTAATCTTGTGGTCGTGGAATCGAGTCCCACGGTGGGCAATTCATAATTGCCGGAGGTTTTACATTGAAGTTGCTCTCAATCTAGCGTTGGGGGCAGTACCTTACCCCCATTACATATGGGAATAGGGTCAGCTAATTAAATATCTAGTGATGGGTTTATTAGCTCTGGGATTTGACATGAGTTTTTGTTTCTAAATTCAGGGTTTTATTGTTGGAACTGAAGTCTTAAGGTGATGGCGAGGATCAAACCACAAGCTCTGCTACAACAAAGCAAAAGGAAGAAAGGACCATCTCGAATAAGTCTTACAACAATTATAATGTCGAGTTTGATTGTTGTTTTGATTGTGTTTTTTGTCTATGCCTCCTACAGACATTGGACTCAAAGGTTCGTTCAATTGAGTCGTTGGCTGTGGGATTTAGTGCTGCAATGCTTTTAGAAATAAACCATGATTTTTCTAAGTTTAAGATATGTACAGAAAAATATTTAATTGACTCAAAGGTTTGTTGATTCATGTAATTTACTGCACGATTTGCTAACTGTAGAGCAGTACATTTAGAAATGAAATTGCTTGTAGAAAAATAGATTATGGCTTTAGTCTGTGATTTTTTTACGTATTTGTCAGTGAAATTTGACCCACTTTTCTTTTATTTAGGTCGAGAATTCATATAGAGAACAAGAAATCAGTTATCGAGGTACTATATTTGAGAATCTTATTTATTCATTCTAAAATGGCTTTGATGATCCTCGTGGTGCCATATTTTTTTGGTCGATAACAATAGCACTCTCAACTCTGTGCCCAGTATCAATATACCACCCTTTCAGGACATATGAAGACAACTTTTCTCTGTTCTTGTGTCCACATGTATCCTTAGTTTATGAGGCATTCCATAATAAGGCATTTTACCTGTTTGTTATTATTGTTTCTAATTTTATAGTCTCTTATGACCGTGGCCACTTGTATTTGGTAGGGGGACAACTCTTTCATGGATTCCAAGAAATCTGATCTCCCGGGATATGCTGTAAGTTCCTTTACTTGCTAAGCTCTTCCCTAATTAGTATACTATGTCTGTGTGAACAATGTCTACTTTTTTGTAATACTGGCCGGGAATTGCTGTGCCTGATTCTCAGAAACAATATTGACCCTAGATGATTAAGTTATAATGTGGTTTTATATCCAATGAAAACTTTCTTTGTCAATTTAACCAGCTTTCTGTTAGTAAGTTTTTCTTCACATTGCAGGCATTAGAGCATGACTTCATCAAAAGACATTACAAAATAAATTCTTATATCATGTTCTTGGTTGTATTGCCTATTAAGAAAACATATTTCATTAGCATATCTCTCAATAAGGCATCCTGATACTGTATTCCTTTGACTTTTTTTCAAATATATCTTACGATACTGACAGATATAGTTGGTAATGAATGAAATTTAGCTGATTTGTTCATCTATTACTTTATCTTAATTTTAGTATTTTATATTGAATACTTATTTCAAAATAAGTCTTATCCGTCGACTTAACTCTGTTTTCTCCCTTCTTATGGTTAGATTTTAGATACCACTAAAGGCTCTATAACAGTGGAGCTCTTCAAGGACAGTTCTCCTGAAGTTGTTGATCAATTCCTTGATTTATGGTAAGTACTGGAATCAGTGTTATTTTTACTTGAAATAATGTATTTTCTTTATCTACAACTATCATAAAATTCCATGTGATCCATATCTGAACTGGAAAACATGTTGGTAGTTAGAGCTGAACAGTTTGTGCCTTGAAAGAATCAGGAATAGTTTCGAATTAGTTTTTCTAAATAAAATTTCAGTTTTGTTGCTGAATTTTCATCTGTGTTGATTTTGTTGTTTGAGCATTATGCATCATGTCTATCTATCACCAAGGCATGGAATTTATCACTATAGTTTACTTCTTAAGAGTCATGCTCAGAGTTTGGTTTAAATTGGCTAATTAGTTTAACGGAATTGATGAGGGTACCATCTAGTTTAGGTTCAGTGGTAAATCAAGTTCAGCCACATTTATGTTGTCTTATCTGCCATTATGGGTGATAAAATAGATCGATTTCTTTTGTGCTTTCAAGTAGTTGGTGTTGTTGGGATGTACAAAATGCATGGTTTATTTAATCACGGAATAGGCAGGCTGGCCAACACCTCTAGGAAGTGCAGTGCCAGAATGTCTTTTCTTTTTATTTTTAAAAATATTTTCCCTCTCCTCCTGCTGAACATGGTGCACAACTGAATTTCATTAACTGGTGCAAAGGAAAACCTGTGTCCTCTCATCCTCCTTATTGTGAATTCGTTGATATGCAGTCAGAGAGAACGCTTCAATGGAATGCTTTTTCGCCATGTGATAAAGCACTATGTGATTCAGGCCGGTGATAGTGATAAGTTAGGAGCTGTGGAGGGCTGGACTGTGAAAGGAAAGCAATACAACCAACTTGATACAAGGTTAGTGTACATTGGTTAAACTTAATCACTCTTATCATCCTCTCCTTTTTATCCTTTTTACTTACTGATTTACCATCCCGACAAAGGCTAGGCACTACATGTTTTTTTTTTTATAACTTACATTCTCTGACGATCAAACCAGTTTGAAGCATGAAGCATTCATGCTTGGAACATCTAAGGTCAAGCATGATGATAAGGAATTTGAGCTTTTCATTACAACTGCACCAATCCCTGATCTAAATGAGAAACTTATTGTCTTTGGGAAGGTCACTAAGGGAGAAGACATAGTTCAGGTAACAAGCAAGCTTTTGTTTATTTCCGTTGAAGTGTTTATGCTTACCATTTTTCCCAGTGTTGTCAAGCATGCGCGTAGGAATAAAAAAAAGGCTGCCTGATTGAATTTGTCTTTAATTTCTTTAATTTTTCACTTTTTTTCTTTTCATTTGATATATCTTTACTAGTAAGAAAAAGATAATATCAACCTCGTTACATTGTAATATTTGAGCATTTGACTACAAACACTGACCATAGGGAAATCATGCACATATTGACCAATAAAAAAATTGCATGTTTTGTAGATAAACTAGACTCCTCTTTAGAGTTTATTGTACATCTTAACCTTTATATCATATACATATTGCGCCTAGTTCCCGAGGCAACGTAAGAGTTTAAGCACCTAGAGTGTCTTGTGCCCTTGACAACATTGTTTGTTTTTCTTTTTCTGGAGTCGTTTACCATTACTCTTGGTTGGACACATTTAAAATGTTCCCACACACGATCCAATCTCTCATGTGGTTATCGGTTGAAGTTATATGGAATGTGTTTTGTTTGCCCAGGAAATTGAAGAGGCGGATACAGATGAGCTTTATCGACCTAAATCTCCGATAGAGATCCGCAGTGTGACTCTGAAACAAAGCATCTAAAATCAAACATGAGGAAATAAATATTCCATACTGTATGTTCTGTTGTCCAAACAAAGTTTCAGCAGCAGCGTTAAAATGGTTCAGAAGAATTTGTGGTGCGTTCCTTTTTTGAGCTTCAGATTTCATCGGTCCTGCTTGTGGTATTTACTCGAACTCAAGGTCTATAGGTCAACCACCTTGTCAGTTATTCGTTCGGTTCGACTTTTGGCTATCCTGTTTTTACCCTAACTAGCCTCTAGCATTTTCTTTTTGTTTTTGGAGGAGGGTATCTGCTTCCGAGTCTATCTTGATAAGGTAATGGACACTGTATTTTGTAATTTAAGTATAATAATATTGGATGAGATGTAATTTACATGTCAAACTCCAATAAAGAAGTTGAGAAAGGTGCTTGCAATTTCTGAGAACCCTCTTACCTTTTATTAATAATTTGTTTACGTATTTAATAAAATAATTCTATTAGTTCATCTCATAACATAAAATATTTTATATATTTTCTAACTACAAATATAATATTTCCTTTTATAAATATGAAGATAAAGTATGTGATTTTTTAAAAAAAGTATCCCAATATTTTTCTCTAACCAAACACAAGATTAATATCCAAAAAAAAAATTAATGGGGTTTTACATGCTTTTTCTACTGTCATACTGAGGGGAAGTTTTATAGTATGACACCCTTAATATATAATTAAAAAAAGATGTTATTAATTTTGTTATTATTTAAATAATAAAACTGATAAAATATTATCTAAAACATTATTATTTCTATCTAAAACGTCAATATTTTTTAACATTTATAGTAAAGTGTCTAATAATAATAAAACCGATAAAACACCTAATAATAATAAAACCGATAGAAATAATAATTTTTTACTGATTTTATTATTTAAATAATAATAAAATTAATATCATATTTTTTAACCGTATATTAAAACTGTCGCACGTGATTATTTGTCGCATTTAGACGCAGCGTTTGTATCTCCAAATTGAAAGATAAAACGCCTAGATAACACACACAAAACGGGAAAATAAAATAAGTGGAATTAGATGAAAATGAAGCCTCTGGCTCTGGGCACTCATGCTCCGCAAACAATGCTAACTATATCTCCTCACGCCAAATCTTTGTTGCAAAACAGAAGATTTTGCCCTGCCTTTTGCTCCTCAGTCTCATCCGAACCGGTGGGTTTTGATTCATCTATTATTACTATACTTGCCGCTTTCTGAAAATTGAAACCTTTGATTCAATGCTAGTAGTATTTGTTTCTTCAGATAGGAACTCAAGGTTCAAAGCTCGAGTATAAGGCAGGAATCCTGGACGATTTTTTCCTGAATTCCTTTCGTAACAAATTGGTAAAGGTTAGTTCGGACTAAATATTTGCAGGAACTATTTCAGCCACTCAATTTTTGTTAAGAAAACCTTGATGAGTTTTTGTTTCAAGGGCTATTACAGGAAGTTGGATGGGATTCGGAGAAGCCTGGATATGATGGACTCATTGAATTGGCCGAAGCTCTTATGATGAACAGCAGAAGCAATTCCGACACCAAATATGCTGCGGTCTTCTGATATAAACCCTTTCATCTCTCTGTTTTTTTTTTCTTTAATCTTGTTTAGCTTTATATTAGTGTGATCGTTGTTGTTTTGGAAATGACAGGTTCGAATATTGAAGTCACTGTTTCCGCCATTTTTATTAGAGCTTTACAAAATCCTTATAGCTCCCATAGATGGAGGGAAGGTCGCTGCAATGATGGTTGGTGAGTTGAATCTTCATAAAATGTTGTTAACTTTCGTGGCTGTGACTTTTTCTTTCTTCTTTCATTGTGTTTTTGTTAAGCAAGGGTGACTGTGTTCACTTGTCAATGGCTTATGGGCGTATGCAAGGTTAATTCTGTGGATCTTCCTGATGGGACCTCTTGCAATAGCGGGGTAAAATTTGATTCAAGTTTAAGATGACAATTATCAGCAGAATCAGATTCATTTTTTATGGATGTACTGCTTCAATTTCTTGTAGGTTTTTGTAGAGAGATGCAGGTACTTAGAGGAGAGTAAGTGTGTTGGGGTTTGTATCAATACTTGTAAGCTTCCAACACAGGTTAGTATTTTTATGCCGGAAGTCGTTTAGCCTACCTGTAATTTCAAGAAGGCTTTAACTTTTAGACTTCTTGCAGAGTTTCTTCAAGGATTACATGGGGGTTCCTCTGGTGATGGAGCCCAACTTCAGTGATTATAGCTGTCAGGTAAGATTTGTTCTTGGCGAAAACAGGGCTAACCAACCAACATGTAATTTGAACCATTCAGTTTCATTGGTTTACCATTAGCAAGTATCCTTTCTACGGAAGAACTAGAAGCAGAAGTAGCCAAGTACCAAAAGGACATCTAATGATGCACTGTTATATCTTTGTTATCACAGCCTGTGGTCTTGCCAGTCACCGATTGCCTGTACTAAGTTATATTGACTTTGTTATCACAGTTCAAATTTGGGGTCAACCCACCTTTGACGGAGAACGATGACACCCTAAAACAGCCCTGCCTGGATGTATGCCCAATTGCTAATAAACGAAGGGATATTCAAAAGAATGTGGATGTGATGAAATGTCCAAAGGCCTAGCATCGTGATCACACCAACTTTTTGGTGCCGTCACACTCTCAATTTACGAATTGTTGATGCATGTAAAAAGGTATCATTACATTTATTCTGTTTTTACAATCTATTGAGCTTGTTAACCATGCGTTTTAGACGAACAATATGCACAAAACAACAAGTCATAATTTTATACCTGGAGTTCTCTATTGCTGTATTGGCTTAGAACCGACTACAGTTCTCACTCCCTTGATCGCATTCGAAACCTGCCCACAAGCATCGCTGATCGTGCTATAGCTTTACAGTTGAAGCAAGATGAATTGAGCATTTTGCAGCCGTTTCAGCTGATAAAAATCTCAAGCCTAATAACTTACACAAGAAATTAACAACCTACTTTCTTCGCAACATTTTCAAGCTTAAATTTAAACAAATTGTGAATCAAAACTTTTAAGGTATACCTTGCAAAATCCTCCAAAGCTTAGGATATAAATACGTCATACCTTGGGGCATCCTTTAAGAAAGAAAAATATCATTCCCTTCCAAAGCTATATGTACTTATTGATTCCATTGAAGCACGTCAGATCCACCAATCCCTTAATCTTCCCTAGGGATGGGCATGTATCCGAACTCGACGAGTTTCGACCCGACCAGATAGGGTCGGGTTTTCTTAAAAAAAATTTGAGGCCAGGTCAGAGTTTTTAAGTGTAATGTTCGGGTCGAGTTTATGGTGAAAAATACCCGACCTGAAAAAATATATAATTTTACCTTATATATTTAGGAATAATTACAATAATACCCCTCTATATATAATTTTTTTCAATTAAGTCATTGTTTTTATTGAATAAAAATAATATTTTTTATTATTTTGGGTCGGGTTTATAAGTTATATATCGGGTTGGGTTCGGGTCGGGTGAACTCTTGTTTTGGTTGGGTCGGATCAGGTCTCGGGTGGAGATTCTCTTGTTTTTGGGTCGGATCGATTAGACCAAAAACCAAAAACCAGACTCATGCCCATCCCTAATCTTCCCTTTCTTATTGATTCTATTGCTTCTTGTTTGCTATTTGCGTAGTATCATGGAATGGTTCTGATTGTTTACTGCAGTGAATGCGCTTTTGTACCTATTTTTGCAAAAGTTTCCACAACTGCTTTAAAAAAATTATTAACTTTATCAACAAACTAAAGATTCTCCTCGAATAAAAACACGTGAAGATGGAAAGATAGTGTACAAATAATAATGCACAAACAGTAAATTTTAGATGCATATACTGGCTTAGGATTTAATTATACAGTATAAAATTTTTTTTAGTTTTACATAAATTTAAAACCGTTGAATGAGCAAAAATAAACGGTTAAGATTAAAGTAAGGAAATGAAAAGACATTAACTCATCAAACCTTAAATTTATGTAAAATTAAAAAAATATTTCAGTGTCTAAATGGATCTTAACCCTTTATATATAACTATATTAAACATTATACAAAAATAAAAAGCAGAAAGATGACTCAGGGGTTGTTTGTTAAAACATAATAGTTTAACACTGAATGATTTAGTAGTCTGAATGATTAAAAGGCTCTGTATGATATAGTTCTGAATAGAAAATTTGTTTGATAATACATCTAAATGGCCAGTCTGAATGGCAAAAATGACCATATTACCCTTCTGTATAATTTTGTGTTAAAATAAAATATATTTGTTAATACCTTGCGAATAAATGCTAAAAATATATTTTACTTTTTGATGTTTATAAAAACACATTTTTTGTCAAAATTATCAACAATCATAACAAAATATAAAATCAAGTAACATAAAAACACATTTTTTAGACAAATTATCAACATTCATAATAAACAAATCTACTAACATGAAATAACATAAAAGAGTGGTTTATGTTTTTTATGAAACAAAATACATAACAAGCATTCTTTTGTTCTAGACAAATCAACCCAAAAAAAATATTAATTTGAAGCATTTCAAAACAATTGATTAGCAATGTGATCACGTAGATTAGCCATATACTCATTGCTTTGAGGACCCCATTCAACTCCATTTATCTCGTCTTGTTCGTTTCCATTATCTTGTTCTTCACTAGAAAACATGTTGTTCTTGTCGAAATCCATAAATAATTGATCATAAACTTTGCATTTTCTTATAAAATTTTGGACCGCAAAACATGTAATCACTATGTCTCGTTGTATTGGAAAATGATAAGGAGCCATTTGCTTTAGGATTGGAAATCTTGCTTTCAGAACTTCGTAGGCACGCTCTATAACATTTCTAAGTTGTGCATGAGCATGATTGAACCTTTCCTCCTTGGTTACAGCACGTTGACGTCAAAAATCTGCTAGCCAATACCTCATATTACGATATGGAGTCATAAAGCCATGTGTATTGGTATATGCAGCATCACAAAGGTAATACTTATCTGTTATTTATATATAAGCATTAAAATTTTGTTACAAAAAATTATAAATAAATGTAATGAATTAAAACATTTTAATACAATTGAAAGAAATGATATATACCTTGTGGAGAAAAAGGAAAACCCGAGTTTGGATTAAATGCAACTTTTGTCAAAACTCTAGAATCATGTGTTATGCCCTCCCATCCGGCCCACACAAATGTGAATATTATATCAAAATTACAAATTGCCAAGACATTTTGATAACATTCACCCTTTCCTCGTCCTCTATAAAATCATCAAAAAGACACATTCAAGTTGTACATAAATGATAAAAGGACAGCATTAAAACATAACAAAGTATTTCTAATCATCAAAAAGTATTTCTAATCCAAAAAGTATTTCTAATCCAAAGAGTATTTCTAATCCAAAAAACACATTATAAAAAAACATCTCCTTGAATCATCCCAAAAGTCAAACTTACGCCCATCATTTTTAATCCAACTCTCACATGCCTCTACTTTTAGTACCAACCAAAGTTTCCTCAAACCCCACAATTCAAAAAGTTAGTTGCAGTATTGTTTGTAAAAATATAGAATTTCACAAGAGGAAAGAAGAAATCCTATAATTCGAAAAGTTAGTTGCAGCATTTAATTTGGTAACAAATTTTGCAAGCAGATTGACATAGTGGCAGTGCTTAATGAAAGCAAAACATAGTTCCCTAGCTTTCTGTTACAAATGTATTCTAAATGACCCAAGTTCAGATTTATATATTGAATAGAAGTCGGAGGACATTAAAACTGTCTTATCGACATGGTTCTCAAACAACATGATCTATGTCAATGATTTATTCATGAACTAGAATGTTTAACTGTATATTTACTACTTCAAAAAAGAACACAGATTGACAACAAAATATGTTCAAGACACAGGCTTATGAAGCTCATTTATTGCAGATTGAAACAAAATCAGCAGGAAATTTGTTTTAGATGATCATTTTTATAATCATCAAACACCGTCACAATACCATAACCACGAGGAATAATTTGAAAAGCAAAAACATGTAGGTGATGAGTGTTTTTGCTATATTCAACCAACTTCTTAGAGTCAATAATTACATTTACACAATAATTAAAGTCATATATGCATAACTTCAATAATTACATTTACACAATACAATCAGATTTTGTCTTTGCATATTGTATCAGCTGCACCAAATCAATCACACTGACAATCAGATCTAAGAATCACATAAATAAAAACTCTTCCTTGGGTTCAGAAGGAACTATTTCCCTAATTTAAAATAAAAACTAAAATGGCTCCTAAAATTTCTGCAAAATGGGTTCACAGTATACGATAACTTTCAGGTGGTTCAATCTCATCTCCAGAGGAACCGAACTTATGACACCATTGAGTGATAGAAACCCCATATCAAATGAAGCACAAACATCATTAAAGTTAAAAGAAAGAGATATTGTTCACTTCGATTTCAGTTTTTGAAGGTTTTTCTCAATAATAGCTCCGTTCCATTTGATCTTGGAGTTTTCATATTTAAAAATTGCAACTTGAAAAAAGTCTAAAAGTGGAAAAAATATCCTAGCAGATTGAATGGGATGATAAAAGCAGGAAAAAAATCACTTTGCCAAAGTACATTAACACGGATCCAATAAGTAGGTAAAGCGAAGTAAATGTAAGAATTTTGAAGTAAACAAGCAAACAATGGACCAATAAATGACTGGAAACTCTAAGAAACAAGAGACGGAAAGAATCTAGCTGAAATCGAGATCTGAAACGAAAATCTAACAAAATATTTAACTGATTGAAGAAAAAGAGTTACTTATCAGTGGAGGAACAAGAAGATGGTGAAGAAGAAGTTACAATGAAAAGAACCGAATACAAATGAATCCACAGAAATGACAAGGGAGGCGAGTTTGAAGATGAAGATGAAGACAAAGAAATAATTACCTGGTTGTGTTCTCTACGGTGGATGAATCGACCGAAGGAGGTGAACGACAGAAGAATGATGAACAACCGTAGGAGGATGAATCGATTATAGAACGTAGGAGGAATCGATCTTTGTTTTGGCACGAGAGGGGTAAGAAAAAGGGTATTAATGTAATGACCAAAAGTCTGAATAATTATGCGCCCTTTTTGAGTCTGAATCGGTCAGACCCTCCAAATCATTTACAGCTATGATTTTATGCGAATCAAACGCTCTGAATCAAACGTTGCTGTATGGATCAGAATGTTGGGCAATCAAGAAGGATCACGTAAGGAGGATGGAGGCCGCAGAAATAAGAATGCTTCGATGGGCATGTGGTTGGACTCTGTGGGACATGACACCAAACTCTGTAATTAGGATGTCATTGGGGGTGGTGTCTGTATCCGAAAAATTGAGGGAGGGAAGACTACGGTGGTTTGGGCATGTCCTTAGGCGACAACCGTCAGATGCGGTCAGGAGGGTAGAGTCGATTACAGCCGACGGTGCTAGAAGGAGAGGACGACCAATGAAGAAGTGGGTAGACTGCTTGAGATCTGATTTGAAGGATTTAACCCTTACCGATGACATGACCTCTTACAGAAAAGTATGGAGACTTAAGACCAGAGTAGTCGAGTAGTGTGGGTCACAGCCATAGGGTGTAGCATCTCTGTCT